GTATGAAGTCAGGCAAATAATCAGTCCAACCCAACTGTTGAAGCAGTCCAAAAATCGAGAAAAATGAGAAAAAAATGGGGCTCAAACTGTTGAAGCGGTCCATATTTGTATGTAATAATTTTTGTTTGCAAGAATGAGTCTTGTGAATCCAATTACAACATCGTATCAAACAAATTCCATAAACAGATCGGCACAAGTTTTTTGTTTTACTCCCAGTCCTTTGGAGAACAAATTGCCCATTCTTTCTTTTCCCTGAATCCCACAAAACAATTTACATTTTTTTCTCCGATTTCCATATCAGCAATTCTAACCAAACAAGAAGAGAAAAAATGGCAAATTCATAAGCCAAGAAAAACCCACTTTCAATTTCATGGCCCATATGTTTGAGAAGGTAAGTTCTGTAAATAGGGTTTTGAAAAATGCAATTTTGTCGAAGGAGCGTTTGATGATTCATGAGTCAAAGAGATTCACTTCTTACTGGAGGAAAGAGGCTGTGTATTACGGAGTGTAAACTTGTGGACAATTAAGCCATGTGTATAAAGAGAACCTTTTTTTTATTTTTTTGGTTTTTTTTTTTATTTTTGTGAAAGAAGATGAAGAGGGGTGGGGTGGAAAATAAAGTTTAAAAGATTTGGGATGATAGCTTATTCGGTTTTTTTTTTAAATAACTGTTTTTACTTTTATTTGTTAATGCACAATAACATATTTAGAAACGAAATTTAAGATGATACAAGATATTGTGGTATTTCATGTTTTTTATGATATTTCATATATTAATATCATATGTTAACGTCTTGGACAAATAAATTTTAAAATTACGATTATACTAAAAAAAATTGTCATGACAATTCAAATAAAATATTTTGTTTGTGGATTTTATATAATAAATAAGTATTTTTTATTCAAACAATTTTACATATGTACAATAATAAATCAAAATCATTTTTCTAGTTATGATGTCAAATAGCAATTTAATGTGGACATTTTTTTTTTTTATTACTAAAAAAGTCATCAACTTTTTGGTACCTGCTCTTTTGGGCAGTGCATAGATAGGAATGCCCAAAAGCTCAAGTGAGGTGCATCAATGAAAGATAAATAAACAAAGACAGATGTACTGATTGCTCATCAATGAAGAAGCTTCTCACAAGCCTTATCTAATTAATTGGA